GGGGTGTGGGGAATTAGGGTTTTCCCCTGGTGGGATAAGGAGGAGGGGGTGGGGTGCGGCTGGGCCGGCCTGGCGGCCCGATGGCCTGCTGGGCCGTGGCCCAGCGGGGGGGGGGGGTCTCTCTCTTCTTTTCTTTTGTTTTTTATTTTTTTTCCTTTTCTATTTTATTTATTTTAGTTAGCGAAACAGCTTTACAAAAATATAACTCCTACTCCTAAATTAGCATAACAACATAGGCCACCTACTCCAAAAAGTTTGGTGATTATATAAACTAGATTAACATTTGTTTAGTATTTAAAAGCATTTAAAATAATTGTTTTGCTGCTATTTTACCCATCTCATATTATTTAAACATTTTATGCATGTGTGGTTTTTCCACCATAATTAGTTATGCAATATTTGGTTCACTCCGAACATTTTAGTTTTAATATTTGAAAACTTTTATTGTTTGCCTATTTTTTGAATTTGAATTTGAATTGGTTTCGAACAAACTCAAGATTAGCAACTATAAACGAGGTGACGTGGCACCATTAGCAGAGGATCACTGTAGCTCAATTACCCGGGCGTCACATTGCTGGCGTGCGTGTGCTGAGCGGCAGCAGGCAGAGGAGCAGAGGAGGAGCACTAGTGGAGAGAAGGAGTGCGTGCGTCCTGCGTGCGCTATGGTGCTGCTGAGCGGAGAGTAGAAAGGGGAGAGATCGAGCGGAGAGGAACTGCTGCTGGGCGCTGTGGTCCTGGAGGCTGCGTGTTTGCTGCTGCTGACTCTGTTGCTGCTACTGCTGGTGCTGCTGATGGGGAGAAGGAAGAGGAGGTGCTGGAGCTTGTTCCTGCGAGGAGCTGCTGCTGGTTGGAAAGAGAAGAAGAGGTGTTGCTGAAGCTGAGCTGCTGCTGGTTGGAAAGAGAAGAAGAGGTGTTGCTGAGTTTTGCTGTTGCTGCTTATCCTGCCAAACGATGGCTGAACCAACTGGTCTTGCCGAGTCTTTGGAGAAGCTTGCTAAGATCCTCGCGGAGTCCAACTCTGGGGCCATCGTTCCTCGACAGGAAGTGGCTCAAAAGCTTGAAATGTCGCCCCTGGACATGAAGCTAGAGGGGGCAACACATTATTTGAGCTGGTCCAGAAGGGCTTTGTGGGCTGTGGAGCAGAAGGACTTGATGGATATTTGTTGGGCACCATTGTAGAACCAAGGGACAAGAGTAGTGCAGAGGGCAAGAGGTGGAAGGTCATCCACTCTGTACTTATGGTGTGGTTGTTGAACTCCGTGGTGCCCTCCATTGGACGCTCTGTGGAGGGGCTATCCTCACCTGCTGAGATATGGAAGATTCTGTCCACTCAATACTCTGGCAAGGGCAATGTCATGCTCATTGCTCAGATTGAGGACAAGATCAGGTTGCTGCGTCAAGATGATGGCATGTCAGTGATGACATACGTGGCAGAACTGCAGGCTCTGTGGGCTGACCAGGATAACTGTGATCCCTTGGAACTCTATGATGCGGCTTCAATCGAGTCAGGGCATAAGTGGATGGCACGCAGGCATGTGCTGAAATTTTTGGCTGGCCTCAAAGGTTGCTTTGATGGCAGGAAGGCTTCCCTGTTGCACCAACCTAGTCTGCCTACCATTCCTGAGGCCATTGCAGCGATGACTCAAGAGGAGGTGCGCCTATCCCTTGAGCATGCAGACATGAAGGTTGTGCCAGCTTCGACATTTGCAGTCACTGAGCGCATGGAGTGGGCAGATCCCACCAAATGTCATATCTGTGGGGAGGTAGGTCATTGGAAGAGAGAATGTCCAACTCATGGCAGAGGCAGGGGATATAACAGAGGGGGAACATGCAGAGGTAGAAGTGCTAGAGGCAGAGGTGGATACTCAGAGACCTCATGGGGCCAGGCTTCTAGAGGTAGAGGTGGCTACTCAGGACACTCAGGGGGTCAGAGGGCTCACATGGCCGTTGTAGGAGACACTGGGACGTCCAAAGGCAAAGATGTAGATGATGTTGTCTATGGAGACTTTGCTCACTGGGCCTCCACTGATGAAGGTAATCCGGAAAGAACATCTCTTGCTACTAATGAGAGTGCTCCAGAGTGGGTTCTTGACTCTGGAGCATCTAAGCATGTTGCTAGTAACTCATGTGTGTTCGAATCTTACACTAAGCATCCTCCCTCTCACACGGGCACTATACAAACGGCTGATGGCACAAAACAACCAGTCATAGGGGTTGGTACAGTAAAGTGTACTCCGACCATTTCCCTATCATCAGTTTTACATGTGCCAGCCTTTCCTGTCAATTTGGTCTCTTTCAGTGCACTCATTGATCAAATGGACTGTCGTGTGATCCTTGACAAGTTCGGTTGCTTGATTCAGGTGCGACAAACGAGCCAGACGGTTGGGACTGGCACCAGGCATAGGGGGCTCTGGTACATGGACCAGGAGGTGCAGCCGGACTTGGTGTGTGCTACGACCATGGAGGATAAGGAGAAGCAGGCGATGATCCATCACTTAGGATGGGGCATGTATCTTTTGATAAGATGAGTAGAATATTTCCGGATGTTATGTGTGGAATAGGCTAAGGCAAGCTGACATGTTATGCTTGTGAATATGCAAAACACACACGGGCCTCATATGTGAGTAAGGGGTTCAGGAGCATATCTCCTTTTATGCTTATTCATTCGGATGCATGGACTAGCCCAGTGGTGTCAATGAATGGGAAGAAGTATTTTGCTACCTTTATTGACTGCTATTCTCGCATGACTTGGATTTACTTGATGCGTCACAAGGATGAGGTGTTTAGCTGTTTTCAGAACTTCCATGCTCTTGTAAAGAACCAGTTTCAGGTACAGGTCAAGGTGCTCAGGACGGACAATGGAACGGAGTATGTGAATAACATTTTTGGGGCTTTCATGGCTGACCATGGGATTCTTCATCAAACTTCATGTCCGGACACCCCCCCTCCTCATAATGGAGTGGCCGAACGGAAGAATCATCATGTTCTTGAGGTTGCTCGGTCGTTGATGTTTACCATGAATGTGCCTAAGTTCTTGTGGGATGATGCAGTTATGACAACCACATACTTGATCAACCGAACACCTTCCAAGATACTTGGCATGAAATCTCCGTCTGAGTTGATCATTGGAGATAATAAGTTTGTTGTTCCCCCAAAGTTGTTTGGTAGTACCTGCTTTGTTCGTGATCACCGACCATCTGTTGGCAAGCTTGATCCTCGGGCAGTGAAGTGTGTCTTTCTGGGATACTCGTCTAGTCGGCAGGGGTATAAATGTTGGTGTCCCTCTAAACAACGCAGGTTTGTAAGTATGGACATTACATTCAGGGAGTCTGAGCCATTCTATGGTGAGCCGACTGATCTCAGTCTGCTGTTTGCAGAGCTTGACCACCTACACCCTGTGCATGATGGTCAAGAGGGGGAGAAGGATGTGTCTCATACTCACGGTGATCCTGTGGACATTAACACTGATAATGATGTGCAGGCTCATGTTCAACCAATAGTGGGTACAATTCCGGTTAGTACCATCACTGATGATGATGTGCCGGCTCATGTCGAGCCAACTGTCGACACACTTAAGATTGGTGCTCTCCAGGTTCCTGTTCGGGATCGATGGCAGACGAATACCCTGGTGTACTCTCGGCGGCAACCACAAGTGCAGGGGGAGCAGCAAGGCAGGGAGGCAAGAGTGCAGGGGGAGTAGCAAGGCAGGGAGGCAAGAATGCAGGGGGAGCAGCAAGGCAGTGAGGCAAGCTCATCTGACACAGTGGAGCTGCAAGGCAGTGAGGCAAGCTCATCTGACACAGTGGAGCTGCCCATTGCGTTGCGAAAACCTACACGTGAAGCGACAAGGAAGGGTGAGGTAGCAAGGAAGGCTCTGCCAAAGGATGATGCTTGTGATGACCTTGATATTGGCAATTTTGTGTCTTACAAGGCTTTGTCACCTTCATATAAGACGTTTGTTGCCTCTATGCGAACTGTGTCTATCCCTAGGGATTGGAAGGCTGCAAAGCAAGATCCGAAGCGGCGTGAATCGATGATAGAGGAGTTAGAAGCATTGAAAAAAACAAGACATGGGTGCTAACCACATTGCCGGCAGGAAAGAAAGCAGTGAGTTGTAAGTGGATTTTTACTGCGAAGCAGAATCCTGAGGGCAAGGTGGAACGGTATAAGGCTAGATTGGTCGCCAGAGGATATAGTCAAACTTATGGAATTGACTATGATGAGACATTTGCTCCAGTTGCAAAGATGAACACGGTACGGGTATTGTTTTCGTGTGCTGCAAACTTTGGGTGGAAATTGCACCAGTTAGATGTCAAGAATGCCTTCTTACATGGTGACTTGAAAGAAGAGGTATACATGGAGATACCGCCAGGTTTTGGCACAGAACAGACTACGGGGAAGGTATGCAGGCTGAAGAAATCCTTGTATGGTCTGAAGCAATCGCCGAGGGCATGGTTTGATAGGTTCAGACGAGCTGTTTGGAATATGGGTATGGCCAATGTAATGGTGATCACACGGTGTTCTATAGACACACTAATAAGAAGATCACCATTGTTGCAGTGTATGTTGATGATATCATCATCACTGGAAATAAAGAGAGTGAAGGGGTGTCTGAGCAAGGAGTTTGAGGTAAAAGACTTAGGAAATCTAAAGTACTTCCTTGGCATAGAAGTGGCTCGGACAGAGAAGGGAATATCTTTGTGCCAACGAAAATACACCTTGGATCTTTTGAGTGACATGGGCATGATGAGATGTCGTGCAGCCCCTACTCCAATTGAACAAAATCATCAAGTAACAGCACAATCAGGTGAGCTAGTGAATAAGGAAGATTATCAGAAGTTGGTTGGGAGGTTATTGTACTTGTGTCATACCAGGCCTGACATTACGTATGCCGTGGGGGTGGTGAGCAGATACATGCATGAACCAAGGAGTGGGCATCTTGATATTGTTCACAGAATCCTGAGATACTTGAAGGGGACTCCGGGTAAAGGGTTGTGGTTTGCGAAGAGTGGACATCTTGAGGTGGATGGCTATAGTGACTCTGATTGGGCTAGCTGTCAAGATGATAGATGATCAACTTCAGGTTACTGTGTGTTTGTGGGAGGAAATATGGTGTCATGGAGAAGCAAGAAATAGAATGTTGTGTCTAGATCAACAACAGAAGCTGAATATAGAGCATTATCTCAAGGGTTGTGTGATATGCTCTGGGTGAAGCACCTACTATGCGAGTTGAAACTCTTGAGGAAGGGACCCTTAAGGGTGTGGTGTGACAATCGGTCAGCTATAGCCATTGCTAATAACCCAGTTCAACATGATAGGACGAAGCATGTGGAAATTGATCGCTTCTTCATTAAAGAGAAACTTGATGCTGGGATCATCAGCCTTACTCATGTCAGCTCTGGGCAGCAGTTTGCAGATTGCTTGACAAAGGGACTGGGAACAAAGGACTGTAACTTGGCGTCTGACAAGATGGGGATGATAGATATCTACCACCCATCTTGAGTGGGAGTGTTGAACCGGTATGGGCCCTAGCCCATCAAGATCTGTCTCTTGGGCCCAAGCCCATGAGAGGTGCTGACCTAGAAGAGGAGCCCCTCTTCCCCCTGCCCCCGTGTGAGTCGCCAGACACGAGAGGAACCGCTTGTGAGTCACCAGACACCACCTGCTCTCCTCTCTGTAGGTACTCCCCCTCTCGTCTCAACACTTAACATGAGATATCCTGCAGTTTTTTTTTTTTGCATGGACACTGTCTCGCAGCAAAAATAGAATGTGGCTTGTATGCACTACTTTTAGTATTTGTAATAAGTTGGTGAGTAGTTGGAAATTAGATCAACTTGCCGGTACGTTTTTAATGCTGAATATCCTTAGAACATATAATTGTAAAAATGTAGAATAAGTCATGTACATGCTAAGATGTGGACTAAACTAAAAAGAAGGTTAAGTAACACTTACATCAATACACTGTAGGCAAGGTGCGGCTTCAAGGATAAACAATGTCCAGTTCAGATCACACTCATTGAAGATATCCCAAAGAAACACAGAGGTCAGGTTTCTGAACATAGCAGTGAGCTTCTTCGGATGTTCTGGCAGAATCCAAATCTATAGCAAGAAATAAATACACAGCTGAAATTGGTAGAGAAGAACATATGGTATGTAAATGCAGAAGATATTTAAGTGGTGCACAGAAATTAATTGTCGTGCCATTTGGCAGCTGAAATTGAGAGCAAGTATCGACAGGTTGCTGGCACTCCTTGACAGGCACTCGCTCAGCGCGAATGGCTCCTGCCATGCCCGGGCTCTAGAAGAGAGTCTTACAAAGCGAAGCTCAGGAACATAGCCGAAGCTCAATGGAGGGTTCTGGGAGAACCAATAATGGCACCACACTTTCCTAAGTTTAGGGACAGAAATGAGCTCGATCAGCATGCACCCAACGAAGCTGAATTCGAGCTCCTGGATTCCAGAGTGCGGCACGTCGATCTTGAGCACGGAGTGCGGATCAACCAGTCTGAAGGCACACAGGCTGAGGTGCCTGAGCCTACCGCAAGCGCTGATGAGCTCGGTGATGTCAGAATGGTCAAATACAAGGCGCTCGAGTGCAAGACTCGTGAGCCAAGAGAAGGCGACCTGGTAGGCGCGGCAGAAGGACATGAACTGCCGCGCAATCTCATCGAGCAGCGGCTCGGGGGGCGGCAGGGACGTGCGAAACTCAAGGCATTCGGTCTGGCCCAAGCTCACGACGTCCTGGACGAGGCGGCCTATGGTGTTCAGGTGAGGAGAGGAAGGCATGTAGAAGCCGAGGACGAGGGACTTGAGGGCGCCACTCTCGGCGAGGGGAACCCCGGCGAGCAACGACCGGACCGCGCCCGTGAACGCGTCCGTGGCCTCGAGCGGCGTCGCGCCCTGAAAGTGAGCAACGTCGAGGTCCACTCGTGAGAGGTGCTTGGGGAGGTGCCGCCACCGCGTCGAGAGCACCCCGGCGCGGACCGCCTCCCGCAGGTCGAGGCGCTCGAGGATCTTGAGGAGGAGGTGGTCGGGGAGACCGCTGATCCGGTCCGCGCCGGCGTTGAGCTTGGGCGGCAGGGCCGGCCGATTGATTGAAACCCTATTGGCGGCCTTCTGCTCCGAGGCCATGGCTCCTCCGGCGCTCCGCTCCCCACCTCCCGTGTGTGGCCGTCCATCTGGACCGGACGGGGAGCGCCGCCTCCTCCTCGGCGCGACCATCTCGATCCGACTCTCCTTCGACCCCCGCCGGCAAGCCGCTGAAATCGATAGTCCCTAGTGGATCTAGGATTTGAAACCAGGGTGGTCCTAAAACCAAAATTTGACAACAAAATGTCATGTGAACGTTCCAAGTAATTACCAATAGCACATATAAATAGATCAATATGGTCTTACAATCATAATAAAATTCTCAGTTTTGCAATAATTCTGCAATAAGGATTTACTTTCAATCAATAAGGCTAATTGGGGGCAGAAATGATGTGCGTGTGTTCGGTTCATGTACTGGATAGCATAGCATAGCAAAAATACAGACCCTAAATCAGAAATTGGGTGTCTCGGCACCTTAAATCGGGTTAACTGGGGCAGGACCGCAGGTTGCTGATTTGCTGCCGCCGGACAGGTGACTGGGCGGCTGCCACCGGCTCTGTAGGCGGCCGGGGGTACGGGTGCAGCCGCGCAGGGCAGGGTCGCCGTAGCTCGCAGGAGGCGCAGTTGGTGCCGACGGCCGGGTGGGCGGGAAGGAGAGGCGGGAGCGGGGAGCCTCTTGTGCGGCTGGTCTCCGGGAGGCGACCGGCGATGAACGATGAGGCGGCGGGGATGGGGCGGCTGAGCGGCTGGGTGTCAGGGAGATGGGGAATGCGAACCAATTTTTTTTTCTGGATGCGAACCAACTGGGAAGAACTGCATGGTGTGTGCGCTGTACTAGGTCAAATATGTTGTTGGCCTTATTTTTTTCCCCTGTCCACCCTCTGCCTCCGCCCCCGTGGTGGGAATTGGATGGGGAGAAACTTTTTTTCTTTTCCACTTTCTCTCCCGTGTAGTGTGTGGCTAATTTTTTAAAATAATATTCCCTCCGTCCCATAATGTAAGGTAAACGTTTCAAGACCGTGCGCCGGCCGACTCGCCCGCTCCAACGCGCTCCTGCTTGGTGGGTCCTACGCGAGATGAGCCCAGCCCGGTCTTATCCTTCTTCATGTCCACTCATTCCTTACCAAAGTCAGATGCATCTCCCCCGTTTCCGCTGCTGCAACCCACATCACGACGGTGAGGCCGCCGTCTCCCCCTGCAGCTCCCCCGTTTCCACCGAGGCAAACCACATCACGCCGGCGAGGCCGCCGTCTCCCTCCACTGCAGCAAGGTCGCCGGTGAGGTCGTCGTCCACCCCACGGCCGGCGATTTTCGCACGCGCATGCCCGGCGCACTCCGGCTACTCTCCCAGTGCACCATCTCAAGCTCCAGCAATTTTCCCAACTCTGGCGAACGAGCTGTATAACTACGACGGCGAGGAACACCCATGACACGGGGATGCTGGAACCACTACTAGGGAAAACGCTATACACAGAGGTATAGCAGTAGCGTTGGTCAAAACTCGGCGCTAGCGCTACTTAGTAGTAGCGCTTGTTGCAAAACCACGCTACAACCATTATTTTAGCAGTAGCGCGTCTTCACAGAAAAGCGCTACTACTAAAATTCCCTCACTAGTGTCGGTAGGCTAGGAATAGTAGCAGCGGTTCTCCCAGAAGCACGCTACTGCTAAAAACATTGTAGCAGCGCGTTTCTGGTGTAGAGCGCTACTGCTATGTAAAAGAAAATAAATAGAAAAATAAGTAGAAAAGTAAATGAAAATGAAAGAAATAGAAAAAGGAGAAATGAAAAAAAGAAAATGTAAAGAAAACAGAAGAAAAAGAAAAAGAAAACAGAAAGGGTTAGCCGTAGCGCATTTCTCTGGAACACGCTATAGCTATCTTAGCTATAGCGCGTTTCGGCAAAACGCGCTACTGCTAGTTTGACTCAAATCCCGGTAGCCCGGCCGGGCTCAAAATTTCGCAAAGTCCTTTCCCCCCCTCTCTCTACTCCCCCCTGTCCCCAACTGCTCCATCGCCGCCGTTGCCCTGTCACCTTCGACCACACCGCCACCGCCCGAGGCCGCCTTCGACCACACCGCCGCCGCCCGCCACCTTCGACCACACCGCCGCCGCCCGAGGCCGCCCCCTCGACCTCACAGCCGCCGCCCGAGGCCGTCGTCGACCTCACTGTCGCCTCCCTCGAGCTCGCCGCCGCTGCCCTCGACCTCACAGCCGCTGCCCGAGCCAGAGCCTGCCCTCGCCGCCGATCGTAAGGCTATGCCTCTCCTGTCCCTACCCTCCTATTTCTCTCTGCTAGGGCAATTATATATATGTTGATACTGTGTTGATGTTCATATGAAACCTAGGCATATGAACCCTATATTTTTTTAGGGCAGTAGGCATTTTATAGCATTTAGGAAAAATGATTAGCAATTTTTTTAGGAAATTAGCTAGGGCAATTTTTATGAAAATTCCTAAACAGTAATTCCATTTAGCTTTAAACTAATAGAGGGTATATAAATAATAGTAGCATTTAGATTTAAATTAATAGAGGGTATAAACAAAAAACACTTAGCTATAAAAAATATTTTGACTACGGACCTGAATTTGTTCCAAATTTCATTCAAATGAAATTTGAATTATTTGGACTATGGACCTGAATATTTTTGAAGAAATTGGGTGTAGGTACTAAGGTCTTGCTGTGGAAATTCTGGTGAGGTCAAAAGGGTTAGAGAAATGTAGTTCCTAGACTTTTAGCTTTAGACAAAACAAAAGTATTTAGCTATAAATAAAAAATAGTAGCTATGGCATTTAGCTATAAACAAAAAACAGATTTGTTTTTCTTTTCAAAAACTTGGTCAAACAGAACAGTAGCTATGGCATTTGGATATATGTCATTGATGTTCATTTGCATATTCCATTATTGTTGATTATATCTTTTCATTGAAGTGGCCATGTTATATGGAAATTCCTCAATAGTGTTTGCTCATGTTATATCTTTTCATTGAAGTTGTTCGATTGTGCCGAAGTGGCTTTGTTGTTTCCAGGGAATGATGCTGAGTGGCCTATGTTTTGCCGGAATGTTGATTCATTTCTGTTCCGGCAAATTTCAGGTTCTCGATTTGTCCACTTTTTAGCAAAGGTCATGCCGAAATTTTCCGTGAATTTCGGCATGACTTGTGCTACAAACCAGGACATATCGAGTGCCCGGGATTTGCCGCACCAGGAAGGAGTCAACATTCCTGCAAAACAATAGTCCTTTTTTATGTCATTATTCATTTTATTAGGTCTAGAATTAATTGACTAGATTTAATCATAGGAAACATGGCTAGCAACGATGAAGGACAGGGTTCTGGTGATTGCGACGACGTCTACCGGGCGGCAGACGAATATTTTAGCCTTACCGACGATCAACCGATGTTGTTGTTGGGCCCACCGGTGGCATCGGGGACTGAGACCGACACGCAGACCGGTGCTGAGACTGAGACCGGCGCTGAGATTTAGACCGGCATCGAGACCGGCGCTGAGACCGGTGCTGCCTCGGGGAGCGGAGCCGGTGTGGAACCGAAAGCAAAGAGGCAACGAGTTCGTAACAACTCAAGACTACTAGACTAGTGGTCACGGAGGTGGACGACGGCAATTTTGAGCCAAAGGCGCCCGAGGAAGCGCGCGCGTGCTACGGCAATCAAATAGGTTGCATCGTACGGACAACCGCCACCATCAATGATGGGAAACTACAGAAGATAGAAAATATGAGGAGCTCCCTCCTAAAGAAGTTTCACCAGATATTCTTGTTCCCGGGCCGGAATGAGAAGGATTATGAAGATCCAGACGAGGACCCGACAATGAAGAAGATAAACAAACACGCCATGACCAAGTTTAGCGACGCGTTGGCCGCCTGGAAAAATTGAGTGAAAGCAAAGATCAACGACGGGGAACCCTACTCCGAAATTGTAAAGGATAACCCGACAATCACGAAAGAGCAGTTTCAAATATTCAAGGAGGCTTGCGAGGCCCAAGCTGCCAAAAAAAAGTCTAACTACATGAAGGGGCTTCAAAAGAGGAACATTGGGAGCCACCACCTCGGAAGCCATGGTTACGGCGGAAAGAGGTCCAAATGGGCCAAGGAGGACGTGGAAGCCGCGAGTCTGGGCATCCCAGACCCCTTGACGGATTTCACCGTCCCGCAGGAGCGTGACGTCCTGAGGGCCCGACACCGTTGGGACCCAGTGAAGAAGGTTTACGAGACAACACCGGTCATTACGGAGTTCATGAGACTGCTGGTAATTTTAATTTTTGATCAATTCGACTGCACACGTTAGTCATATTTGTAAACGATCCTTGTGCCTTTTGCAGAGAGAGCAGCACCGGATTGCGGCCGAAAGCGACTCGCCGTCTGAGGCATTGGCGAGGCCCAAGTGGGACGCTCCATTCAACCGGGCGTTGAACATATTGAAACAACAGTCGCAACAATGGTAGCTACCGCAAAACAGGCGATTGCAGATATATCTACTTCCTTGGTGACGGGCGTTTTCACCTGGACAAGGCAAAATCCAGAAAAAAAATGCAGAGGACTTTCCCCTTGCTGACTTCTTGGGAGCACCTGCTCCCGTACCTGCTCCCGCACCGGCTCCCGCACCTGCTCCCGCACCGGCTCCCGCACCGGACGTGCTCGGTAGTGCCTCCTCTTTGGCTGAGCTCGACGCCCTCATAGTATCTGTCACACCGGCCCCCTTCAATCACTAGTGTAGAACCGGCCTTTTGTGCCGGTTCGTGAAGGCCTTTAGTGTCGGTTCGCCAACCGGCACTAAAGAGTGGGGACTAAAGGCCCCCTTAGTACCGGTTTGTCATGAACCGGCGCTAAAGTGCCACCACGTGGCACGAGCCAGGCCCGTTTGCGTGTAGGGCATTAGTACCGGTTGGTAACACCAACCGCTACTAAATGTTTGGGTGTTTTTTTAACTTTTTCTTTAATTTTGTGTTTTCAATTTAATTTAGTGATTGTTTTACATTATAATGAGTTGTTAAATCATTAGGTGAAAGTATCGCGGATTAGTTTCGACTGGATGCATTGGATAGCTAGCTAAGTGATCAAGTATATGCCATATCCATATTAATTATACTTGATCAACTATAATATATACGGATATGGCA